TGAATAATAAATGTGGGGTTTGTTTTATTTCAGTTCTGCAAGTCCTTCCAAAACACTTAGACTGTATTTTCCTCCTTTTGCTCAAAAAGGTGAAGTGGAAAAAGAGGCTATCGGATCTTCACATACACAAACTTTAAGAAGAAACTCTAGATATTACCGCAAAACAAGATTAAAACTGCAGCAGTTGTCATTTTGGGGTTTCTCTATCTATCATATAAACAAAAACAATCCCACAGCAAGCCAGAAAAGCTTTCTGGAGTTACAAAGGCCTTTCTCCTAAACATCTTAATAGAATGAAAACTGGCTGTAAGTATCTGGTCCCTGTTCTATGTTCTATACTGTTACAACTAATCTTTACATTTTTAATTTTTCTTACATTTGTGGTGCAGTCACCTCACTTATTTTCTCTGATTGAAAGCTTTGTTTATTTATCTCTTTAGCCATTTTTTTCCTGATATCTAACCAAAACTTTCCACTTATAGGTTTAGGATACTAATTTTTTTTAACCCTTTGTAGGTTAAAACATACAAAATCCCTTTCCTGCCTTGATATTAGTTCCTTGAATCCTTAAAGATCGTACAGTTTTACATCCCCTTAACATGTTTTTTTCTAATCTATATAACAAAGTTCCATTGCTTGCTCTTCCTCTGTCATATACTCTAATCCTTGAATCATCTCAGTTGTCCAGTGTATCACAAAATGAGCAGATATTTTTCTTGGATCTCAGAACATGAAAATATATTAAAGTTGAAGAGGACCTCACCTCCATCCCTGGAAAGGTGATGGAACAGCTCCTCCTGGAGGTCATCACTAAGCATCTGGAGGACAAGAAGGTGATCAGGAGTAGTCAGCATGGATTCACCCAAGGGAAATCATGCTTGACCAATCTGACAGCCTTCTCTGATGGAATGACTGGCTGGGTAGATGAGGGGAGAGCAGTGGATGTTGTCTACCTGGACTTCAGCAAGGCTTTTGACACTGTCTCCCATCACATCCTCCTAGGTAAGCTCAGGAGGTGTGGGCTAGACGAGTGGACAGTGAGGTGGCTTGAGAACTGGCTGGATGGCCAAACTCAGAGGGTTGTGGTGAATGGCGCAGAGTCAAGTTGGAGGCCTGTGGCTAGTGGTGTCCCCCAGGGGTCAGTCCTGGGTCCAGTCTTGTTCAATATATTCCTCAATGACCTGGAGGAAGGCACAGAGTGCACCCTCAGCAAGTTTGCTGATGATACTAAACTGGGGGGAGAGGCTAACACACCAGAAGACTGTGCTGCCATTC